GGGTTATGTGCCTGCCACTGCTGTGAAGAAAAGACATTCATTGACCTAGAAAGCTAACGGTTCACATGCATTATGCAAATAGCCTTGAGTAAACCAAACTGTATTTGCATGTAAGCAAAACACTGACTTGTTCATAGTGGGTGGGGGTGACCTTGAATAGTTAACACAGAGATTCCAGCAGGGTATTTGTGGCCCGCTACAATCTAGATATACACTTTGCAGCAGAAATAAAATGCATACCAAATTTAAATGTTTTAGGAGCCACAATAAAAAGTAAAAATAGGCAGGTAACAATCAAATAATGAATTCACTTTTCATATCTAAAATACTACTATTTTAATATGAGCAGATATTTTACTTTTATAAACATATGAGATCTTCAAAATATGATGTCATTTTTATGATGATAGCATATATCAGTTTGGATGCTAAATTTTCCTTGAAAATATGTGAATTTATATAAAATTTATGATGAAAATATTTAACACAAGTTGTTTCAAATATACATAAACTCTTTAATGACCAATTAAATACATATTTTAAATTTAAATTTAAATAAAAATAAAACTTTCTAGATACATTTATCTAATGATTCTTATTTTCAGTAGCATTGTTATCAACAGTAAGGATACACTTCCTTTTCAAATAAAGTTCCTACATTTTTCAATCTTCAAAACAGATGAAATATTAAAATGGTAACCAAATTTTGTCTATCAGTTCACTCCAACCTACTTAAAGATAAAAACACTGGGAAGACACTGATTACTTTAGTCATTTGTTTTTGTACACCTTACTATAATTTTTAAGAAGTTATTCCAAAAGTTAAAACATTATTTTACAGAAAAATTCATTTCTACTTTACCAGTTGGAGACAGTTATTTGAAAAAAAATTATATGTATGGTAAAAATAACACCCTCCAAATTAGACATGTGATATCTATCTATCTATCTATCTATCTATCTATCTATCTATCTATCTATCTCTGGGGTACCCGCATCACCCTCACCACTCCCCCTTCTCCTGTTTACACAATGGCTGTGTGCACAGTGATGAGGGATTTACAACGATCCACTCTTCACGTCCTCTACACCTTCTACCATACTATACACTGAATTGAAGGAACATCAAACTTACCATCTTCTGAAAGAAAAAACTTTCTTGAGGTAAAGCATTATTAGTAATTGGAAAAATCTGCATGGAAAAGGGAGCTCTTCCCATTATTTCTTCATTCCTTTGGAGAAATAAAGCCAGAAGGAAACAATCTTGAAGTTTCTAGAAACAAATGTCCTTTTTTCTTAAAAAACTGACCATTTTTCATAATAAAGGAAAAGAATGAATTTCTTTGATAGCATTTAGTTTAGGATGGTTATCTTAAATATGCATACAAATAACCAGTTGGCATACTGATACGTCATGTAG